GAGCAGGCAACAAATTCAACATTGAAAAAATATTTGATTTCATAGGGCATTCAATACAGTTATTTCTCAATCTCAAATTTTCTTCTCCTTCTTAGCTCGATATAAAGACAACGCACTAAGCAGTATGAATTTCATTGTTACAAATGAGGTAAAGAGCAGTACGGCAATAACGCTTGAAAGGAATGCAATAACATCCAAAGAATGGTACTGAAAGAAGTTGAGCCTATTGCCAGCTGGCACCAGATTGTCAAGAGTCTTGAACTCCGCGGTAAATTCGGCCCACGATACCAATAAATGAGATGGACTCAGCGGCTTCTTCGCAACCATTTGTGATAGCAATCTCATCTTTTCCGAATAGCTGCATGCATTCGAAATTTTCTTGTAGTGTTGTTGGAAAGAAAAATTTATACCTTTGATCATTCAAAATTCTAGTCAAGGCTTCAGTTACAGTATCTGCGCTAAGGTCGCTTTTACGAAGATTAATAGAAATATGTTGCCTTTCAGCTAATTTTGCATTCCTTGGCTGATCTCCAAATAGTGCTATAGTTAATATGGGAACACCCGTGGAGATAGCTTCCTGGTAAGAATAGGCGTATAGCAAAATGGGATTATCGATCTAGAACAGTTTCTACCGACCTGTATACTGTTGTATCCTCCATGTGATATGAATGCCTTAGTTTTTGAATTTTTCAAGAGATCAGCTTGAGGAAGCCACTTGAACAGGTGTACATTTGGTGGGACTTTTTCTGTAAAAATTTGATTTCGTTGCAGCAGTTTCTGCGCAAAAAGCTCCGCAATTTTACTGAAAGATGGCAGGTGCATGGGTTTGGATGCTTTTTTCATCTTATTCAAATTCCATAAATTATTGTGGAAGTAAAGGCTAGTAAACATGTTCTTACCTTGTAAATCTTTTCCCTCATACTTCCAAATAAAGTGATAGTTTGGGAAACGTCTGAAAGCCTCAATGAATGCTAGCTTCCAGCTCATAGGCATTTCATGACTAGCAGCGACTGATCCAAAAGAAAACACTACAATGCCTTCGGCAGCATCCACGATTTTTTGGAACTCCTAAAATAAAGAAGTTAATAGGTGGATTTCGAATTTTGGTAACTCATGGACTACAAAAATGAGCACATGCTATAATTGGTCAACTACTTATTTAAAGTATTTAACACCACCACACTCAGTCAAGTTATTCCTAAAACATTATCTTAGCTTTGTAATAGCTGAATCCAAATTGGTGTCGTTTATTATAGGCATTTGCAACCTTCACTCTTCACGAATCACACCTCCACGTTCAAATAGTAAAAACAAGTTCAGTTTTATGCTACTCAATTCTTGTATAAAAACGTATAAAATTACCGGCTCAAGTGCTTTCGCATCCTTCGTCTCCATTCCCAATCCACCGATATTAACTATTTTTGCTAACGTTGGCCGGGCAAGATCATAGAGATCGTTCGAGTTGGCCATAACCTCAATAATGTTAAGGTTCTGAGAGAGGCAGACTCTCTATATGTTCATAAAGTTACCAAAGGGCATTTCTTAGCTATGTCCACTATGTCCGGGAAGTTAGGGTCAAACAGCTCTCGGAATATTGCAGTCTCTCTATCAGCAAACATTCTAAAATCTCAACTTCATACTGTCACTTTTATAGATCCACCCGTGTTGCAGTGGTTATGGACTGTAGAGTTGATATTGGAGATTCATTGTTAATTTTCTAATTAGCGATGAGTCATCTCAGTTTCCACATTCAAACCACGCTAATCTGTTCCAAATTTTTTGCAAATCTTGCTTCCAGATTGATCCTCTTTTGTTCTATAGGTCTGCTTAGAAGACAATCTCACTGCCTCTCTTTGATTATGGCTACATAGTGCATTCACAGCCTTTTCGGCACAATACCACTTCATTAATTGAAGTGCAAGGGATGTCTGAAGAGTGAAAGTCAGATATCACCACATAGGTTGTTTAAAATTTCTTATAAAGTTTCACTTCTTAGTTGGTTCTTATCGCCATAACTGCTATAGTAAGGGTATCTACATCAGTAAAACACGCGTATTAGATATTAGATTCACGTACTCTCCGATGAATCACAAACCAGCTTACCTCTTCCACAAAATTGGAACTAGCTGGTGCCCGATTGCGCTCTTTACTCTTTCCTTGAATGTCATGTGATCAGAACTTTCCTGCGTCATTGCTGTAGAAATACAGTTTTATATGATAATCCACTACATTTTATCCAAGTTGAATAACTTTATTTTGATTTTCTAATAATGTTAGGGATCAGCTCACGTGGAATATAGCTGGAAATTATAGGCACTCCCATGAGATGGGCTACAAAGTCCGTGAGGGCAGCACTAAAAACAGCTAGCAAGATATACTTGTTCCAATTTGAATACCCCTACAAGTTTTGCAGCTTTGCAGGTTCCGAGAGCTTTAAGGAAGTTGTTACGTAAGTGAAAAAAGCTATCACCACCAACAGACATCTGGGATAAGTTCACAGATTTTTGAGCATATATATATTTTAAAATATATATATATATAATAAGTGGAGCAAAAGTTTGGACCCCTT